TACTGTTCATTTATCACCATCAATTGGGTTCAAACATGGCTGACCAGGAAGTGGAGGAAGAGAAAGAATGAAAGAGAGAGAAGTCGAAGCTGATGTTTCTCATCATAGATCAGAGCTCTGGGCTCTGGACAGAATACTGAGAGCTCAGCTGCTCACTTCCTCTGGCCACACGCAAGACCATATTTAAATCATTTCAAATTGAGGAGGAGTTTTTTTTTTAAGACCTCTAGAGGAGATAACATTCCCTCGGTAAATTATTCCCTGATTCAACAACCCTCAAGAAAATGGACCTTAATTCTATGTGATTTATATTCCTGCCACCACGGTTTCCAGCCCGCCTATGCTTTCAACACACAGTCACTGAGTTCCTATTAAGTACAAGGCCCATCCAAAGGGGACCCAAAGACAAAAGAGGCAGGCTGCAGGCTCCAGATGATTTCGGTTCAGTAGGGAACATTAGCCCCGTATACAAATAACCACACTCCAAGATAGGGAGTGCTAAGCAGCATAAGCTTATGGATCATGAGCTCGGACAGTTCACAGGAGGAACCCTTTGTCCTCACGGTGGCTGAAGAACAGCTGGCCTCCATCCCTTTGTTTGTCCTGGATAATCTCTTTCTTCCTCACCTTTTATTTGCTCTTTCCGTGGTTTCTTAAGGCTGTCAACATTTTGAGACATATGGAAGACACCGTATGAGATGGGAACACATCCTGTCTGATAGCAGAATGTTCACAGCCACAGGGACTCAATGTCACATACACTGTTTGGGGATGAATGTGGCTACTACTGACCAGCTGCCCCACCTGTTCCAGAACTTTCCTTTTGCACTCTTGCCAAATGTGTGTCCCATCTGCTATGTTAAAACTGAGATCAAAGATCAAAACAAGTATTAGACAGTGTATCCAGGGGCTCACTATCTGAAAATTGGGTAACATCTCTCCTATCCCTCTATCTTATGTCATTCCCTGACCTCATGGGAGTGCAACAGAGTGGTCATGGTCGCGCAGGACACCAGCCTTCTTACACTATGTGCTTACACTGGTGTGCTTGACTTGCCTCCCTAGTCAGTGGGTAGTTGTTTCTTATGTTTTTCTGTCTTCCTTGCTGCCAAACTATGTAACTCTTAATGAAAAATCTGTTTTGGCAGAGGAAATCATAAATAAGACTCTGAAAATTTAAGGGACTTATCCAAGTTCACACAACTTACGATGGAGTGGGAATTTGACCTCAGCTCTTCCACTTCTTGGCTTCCTCCACTGTGTGATGTTTCCTGTGCGCTCATCAGCTCTCCCCAACTATCCTGTGAGCTCCTGACTGTTCTGACATAGGTTCCTGGAAATGATTCCTCACGTTATTTTATCTACCCTACCATATCTTTTGCAGAGAACAAAATCAACAGATGCGGAAAGTGGTGGGGAGAAAAACATAGAAAGGTAAATACAAGTGGCAGCTCAAGATACAAACCTAAAACTGCCAGGTTTCCTAAGCACATGAATGTCACTTCCTATTCTCCTGAAATAATCCAAAAGAAAACTAGAGAGTTGTAACGCTTTACCAACAAACAGCACAGGTGATGGTGAGTGTCAAAGTACCAGCTACCCAGCAGAGGAGAAGCCCACTGGGTCTGCCTTCCACTCACACCCGGACCAAGACCCTCTCGATGAGATGAGGTCTATAGGCAAGGATGAACCATAGAAGTCAATATAACACATTCAAGGCCTGTTCAGACTTCAGACCCAGTTCAAAATTCATGAAGAGTAAGGAAGACCTGTCATCAACCATAGTTTGTCATTTCTGAATCAAAGGCAGGGTTGACCAAGGTAGAGGAAACTAGCTGCCCTAGCATGCATTTGATGCCCAAGGCAGACATAAAACTGAGGAGGTTTGGCTGGGCACGGTGGCTCACGCCTGTAATCCTAGCAGTTTGGGAGGCCGAGGTGGCAGATTGCCTGAGCTCAGAAGTTTGAGACCAGCCTGGGCAACAAGGTGAAACCCTGTCTCTACTAAAATAAAAGCAAAACTTAGCCAGGTGTGGTGGCATGTGCCTATAGTCCCAGCTACTCGGGAGGCTGAGGCAGGAAAATTGCTTGAACCTGGGAGGTGGAGGTTGCAGTGAGCCAAGATCATGCCACTACACTCCAGCCTGAGCAAGACTCTGTCTCCAAATAAAACATATAGATATATATATAGAGAGAGAGAGAGAAAGTTTTTTGTTTTGTTTTGGGATTTTTTTTACTTCTTAAATAAAAAAATTCAAGAAAAGAAAACAATATTCCCAGAAATAAAAGTAATGACTAATGGAGGTGGTACCCAATTGTTGTCAATGAATTTATGAAACTGGATACACTGTTTGAAAAGATAAAGGGCTTCTTGAAAGTCAAAGTGAAAATGTGTCATGGCTGGGTGCAGTGGCTCATGCCTGTCATCCCAGCATTTGGGGAGGCCAAGGCGGGCGATCAACTGAGGTTGGGATTTGGAGACCAGACTCGCCAACATGGTGAAACCTCATCTCTAAAAATACAAAAATTAGCCGGGTATGGTGGCACATGCCTGTAATCCCAGCTACTTGGGAGGCTGAAGCATGAGAATCACTTGAACCCAGGAGTGGGAGGTTACAGTGAGCCAAGATCACGCCACTGCACTCCAGCCTAGGAGACAGAGAGAGAGACTGTCTCAATCCAAAAAAAAACAAAAGAAAGAAATGAAAGTGTGTTATATAAAATAATACTAATCTGGAACTAAAACTTCAAATTGTTTCAACAGTATCTGGAAATCGGTGAGATATGTGAAATTTCTCACTTAGCTCAGGGAAAATTCAAATTTTTCCTTCTTAATTGACTAAAAACTAGGTTTACATATATATTTTAAGTTGACCCTAACCATAAGAGATAAAAATGGAATGTACAACTTCAAATCACTAGAGGGGAAAAAATAAAGTCTGATGCAATGATGTGGTAAAACTTTATCAAATAATACGTGACAAACAATTTTTGTAAAAGCTGATCTCATATTTTCACTTAAACTCAATTGTATTAAATTTGACAACATATATAGCTTTCATCATTTTTGTGGGATTTTTTATGTAAGATAATGCATAATATTAAAATATATTCAAATGAAATGAGACAAGGCATTTAAAATAGTAAGAATATGAAAAGATTTCTTCAAAGAGAGTCTGGCTTCCTTGTGTTTAAATTCATGTAATTTTGAAGGAGAGATGAGAGGTGTGTTGACACAGAGGATTGACAAGAGGTGCTAGAGTTCTTCAAAGGGGAAATATGTGTCTTGACTGGGAATATACCTAGATGAAACACTGGGTGTAAACTGAGGTCTTAAAGTGATGCTTTGACGGAAGGCAGGACTTACGCAGAGAACTAAATTCTCAGTATAAGAAATAACAAGATTTGGCTGGGCACAGTGGCTCACACCTGTAATCCCAGCACTTTGGGAGGCCGAAACATGCGGATCATTTGAGATCAGGAGTTGGAGACTAGCCTGGCCAACCTGGTGAAACCCCATCTCTACTAAAACATTAGCCTGGCATAGTGGTATATGCATGTAATCCTAGCTACTCAGGAGGCTGAGGCAGGAGAATCACTTGAACCCAGGAGGTGGAGGTTGCAGTGAGCTGAGATGGTGCCACTGCACTCCAGCCTGAGGGACAGAGCAAGACCCCATCTCAAAAAGAAAAGAAGGAAGAGAAGAGAAGGAACATGAAAGGAAGAGAAGAGAAAGAAGAGAAGAGAAGAGAAGAGAAGAGAAGAGAAGAGAAGAGAAGAGAAGAGAAATAACAAGAGATGGAATTGAAATCAGAGAGAAAATGGCAGGAATTAGGGTGGGGATTGAGGGATGGAGAATAAAAGGAGTATTACAAACCAGGCAGCCTGCTGAAAAAAGGTAGATAGTGAGAAGCACCTAGACCAAAAATTTGCAAGGGCTGCAATATTATCTACTTTTTAATTTTTTTTTTTGAGTCTTGCTCCATCACCCAGGCTGGAGTGCAGTGGCATTATTTCAGCTCACTGCAACCTCCGCCTCCCGGGTTCAAGCGATATTCTTGCCTCAGCCTCCCGAGCAGCTGGGACTACAGGCACACGCTATCACATCTGGCTAATTTTTGTATTTTTAGTAAAGACAGGATTTTGCCATGTTGACCATGCTGGTTTCAAACTCCTGACCTCAAGTGATCTACCCACCTCAGCCACCCAAAGTGCTAGGATTACAGGTGTGAGCCACCACACCCAACCATTATTTATTTTAATGATGCTATAATTTAAACTTATTTTAATTAAACAATTCCATTGTCCCAAAACTTCAGTGAATGTGTACTATACACACAGCCTGGTATGTGACAGAAAAAAAAGGACTTGGACAATGTTCTATGTGGGATGCACAGTTCATAAAAAGAACAGCACACAAATGTGAGTAAACCATGAACCGCACTAATCCACAGAAGCAGGACCCCAGGGCCAGAAGGAGGCAGGAGAAATGGCAGCACCCTGTCCGCCCAATGACCTGAGACATTCAGAAAGACTAAGTCTCTCATTGCACATGGGACAAGGTATTTGAGTCAAATCACAAAGGATCAGTTGGCCCTGAGTGACATTTTGGATACAGAATATATATTCTTTCATCATGACAACCGGAGGTCATACTTGGAAATCCAAAGCTTGAACTTTAGAGGTATTCTATAACAATAGCAAAATTGATGTTTGCCAAATAAAATAGAATGGCTCAAAACTCAAATGAAAAAATGAGTTATAAAAAATGTACATATGAGTTTATATAACAAATATATTTATAAAGAAAGTAAAGAATTATATATTTCTATATAATTCTAAAGTACTAAGTCCTCAACCCAGAAAAGCAAAAGGTTCAAGTTATGCTAAGGAATAAAGGTCTTTCTAATTAAGAAGTAAAATATCTCCTTTTCTAAATAGGTCTAAAACAAATTTAAAATATAAATGAGAACAACTTAAACACAGTATGAAAAGAAACGAAAATCATATACAGGTTATACCTGATAAAACAGTGGCTCATTTTTAATTTCCTGGTAAAGGAAATGAATGAGTCAAAGGAATAGAAATTTCTGGTTAATGAGAGATCAAAGCTGACTGTGATCCAACCAGCAAGAAAAGAAAATAAAACATTGAGAAAGATCATGGACAATAGATTCTGAAATCAGAACAGGTCTTCTAGAAAGCCTTGAGCCACAATGTGATAAGGAGAAAACAGAAAAGGAAGAAGGAAGAGAGAATAGGTCAGGGACTTCTTCCTGATGACTCAGGTAATGATCTGTAACCATCTCAAGATTCCAAATCCTCATGAACAACAGGCCCTTTGGAATGGCTGAAGGGAGAGGATTCTCCTACCTCCACAAACCAAAAACTCCAGAGGATCTCCCTTTCCATCAATGTGGCGCATCTCTGATCATGGGCTTCACACAATTCCTGTGTAACTCCATCTAGCCTGTAAGCCCCAGAAGGCTGGAGAGGAAAGCCATTCCTTTCTTGAGTAACAAACTATCACCCTCAGAGTGTGGTCGTCCACGTTCACCCTTGCTTCTAACACCACTGGCTGAGTGTTTCATATGTGTCGAGTTTGTCTGTTGAGGAAATATCTTCAAGCCCATGATTTTTCTATACCACTGCATCAAATTCAGGATGAAACATACCATGCATAGTCAATAAATACTAAGAAACAGCTTTTCAAATGTTTGGAATATTTTTTCTAATTATTTCCTCCTACTTGAGATCAGAAAACTAAACAAAGTCATTTGTTTTCTCTGGGTCATGTTTAGAGATGTCCACTCATCCCTTCACCTTTCTGGGCCTTGAGTCTTCGTCTGTATAATAAAGAAACTTAATAAGGAAACTTGACTAGGGACCTCTAATGTTATCCTCCAGCTCCAGACTTCTGGGACTGCCTCAGTCTAAGCACGTGATGGCATCTTTCCTAAGACATGTTCCTCCAATTCCCTATGTCCAATCAGAAGAGAGGAGCGGAAGAGAGGCCTGGGTAGGTAACATAGCAGAGAATTTGTACCTTGGAGAATCAGGAGTTGGCCAAGTTCTGATCTTGGTCTCCCCTCTTTCTTTCTTTTCTCCTGCTTGGCTCACCTTTCTGAATTGGCATTTATAAAACTGATCCTCTCTGGTTCCAGTTTCTTTTTATTTTTTGGTTAGTAGCTCCAATAGAGGCCTGAAATAAACCAAGGAAAGGCTTATTGAAAGAGAAACAAATTCCCTTAGATGTACTGTGAGGGGTGACTACGTTTGGGGCATTCCAACCCAACTAAATGAACCACCTGGAAAAGAAACACTTCCACACTTGACCAGACACCCTTCCAAAATGTTTTTTTTTTTTTTTTTTTTTTAAACAGAGTTTTGCTCTTGTTGCCTGGAATGCAATGGTGTGATCTCAGTCACTGCAACCTTCACCTCCCAGGTTTAAATTATTCTCCTACCTCAACCTCTCAAGTATCTGGGATCACGGTCATGTGCCACCACACCTGGCTAATTTTGTATTTTAGTAGAGATGGGGTTTTACCATGTTGGTCAGGCTGGTCTTGAACTCCTGACCTCAGGTGATCCACCTGCCTCGGTCTCCCAAGGCCTCCCTGGGATTACAGGTGTAAGCCACTGTGCCTAGCCCCAAAATCTCTTTTTTTTTTTTATTTTGCTAATTGTTTTATAACCACAACAAACTAGTACAGAGAATGCCCTGTACAAAACACAAAGTTTCAAACATCAAGGTGTTCCCTTTGCAAGGCTGAAAATTTCAGTCTCTGGTATTTGGAATTTAGGCTGCAGTCCTTGTTTTTGGATGGATCACTGGGTGTGTGGCACAACAGTCCATGCTTTTTTTTTTTTTTTAAATGAGATGGCGTCTCACTCTGTTGCCCAGCTTGGAGTACAGTGGCCTGATCTCAGCTCAATGCAACCTCCACCTCCCAGGTTCAAGTGATTCTCCTGCCTCAGCCTCCCGAGTAGCTGGGATTACAGGTGTGCACCACCACGCCCAGCTAATTTTTGTATTTTTAGTAGAGATGGGGTTTCACCATGTTGGCCAGGTTGGTCTTGAACTCCTGACCACAGGTGATCTGCCCGCCTCAGCCTCCCAAAGTGCTGGGATTACAGGCGTGAGCCACCACGCCCAGCCTTTTCAGTCCATGCTTTTAACCAGATTTGAACAGAAGAATGGCCACTTGGCCCAGGTAGAAGTAGATGAAGTGTTCAGATTCATGTGCACATAACTACTGAAGTCCCTCCCCATGATGCAATGCCAGATAGGATTGTACTTCTTATCAAATTCCTTCTTGATATGAGCCGCAATGTCCTTCTCTATGTTGTATTTCTCCAGTGCCTGAGTAGCACACTCCAGCGAGTCCTGTTGCATCTCTTCCAACATGTCCGCATTGTTGATCACGGCCTTTCTGTCGCACATGGTTACTGTGGAGAAGGGGGCTGGCTGACAGCAATAGTCTCCTGGAGGAGGTGCTAGCACTGCTCAGTCATGGCTTGAGCTGCTGTCTACCAGCTCATTATTTAGTGGTCAGTGTCCATGTGCATTTCCAAAGGTCTGTCATTAAAGACACTGGATCGAAAATCTCTGGGCCCTGCCACGGCCAACTCCCAAGCCAGCTTACAGTTACTATTTAAGTTAGTCACAGTAGCTGACTGTGACTTACTAACTCTAGTTAGAAGAAAGGCAAAACAACACTTAAATATAATTCTTGTGTTATCTGTGGAATTCAGTTTTTCATGTGTATTCCTATCTTCCATCATCAAAGCATCTCTTAAAGGCCCATTTGGTTCTTTATCAAGACTAACACTAAGATTTACCTAGAAAATTTTCAGATTAGCTTTGGGACTCCCACATTCAGAAGATCTGAGGCTTGAAAATGACAGGATTATAGGTAATACTAGAAGACAGGTCTCAAGTCATTTGGGTCAATACTGTACAATACTATGGTGACACCGTATTTATTTGCAATGAAGCCATTCCCAGAGGCCATTAATTGATCCCAGTGGACACCTAATAGGCTCTTAAAATTGAAAATGGTTCTTAAATGGAGATAGGAACATGCTAATTACATAACTGTTTTATACAAGGTAGAGTCTTTGGACTTGGCCTCTGATTCTGATTCCTTCCCTGCCATCTCTACTAGGAGGTTATAAGAAGTGAATCTCCATTCTACATTATTAATTGATTCTAGGTTGATACATGGGGACATTTTATCATTTATTTCAGGCATTGACATACGTTTGGTGCTTTCGCTTTGTGAAGATGTAACAAAATAATTTCTAAAGACAAGAATGTCAGCACAATAGATAGGTTTGTTTCTAGGATATATCGGATGCTCTCTAAATGTGATCATTTCCTTTCAAAGGAAAGCGCAGTAATTGCCTCTAAGGAATGATAAAGCCAGATGTCATTTTTTCTTCTGTCAGTCTGCTGTGCAATATCACGCAGTCTAGGAACTCTTTATCTCCAACGGGAGAGAATTTTTAAGGTTTGCTGTGACAGCTAAACAAAAAATCAAAACTACTGTGAGAACTCCAAAGAGCCCTCTTCAACAACACTAATCACACCACTTTGTCTGCTTAATTATTTCTATTGTGCATTTAGACTAAAGAACTATAGGAGGGTTTGGTTTTGTTTTCCCCAATTTGCATGAGGATTTTGAGGTATGGTCTTCTGTTGCTTTTAATAACATCATGCTACTCCAATTAAGAAATATTTGCCATGAAATAAGTGTTTCATCATGTTTCTGTTTTTGTTTTTTCAAATCTGAAAGGTCTACTTCATGATTCCCATTGTTCATACCCTTGGAATAAATTACTACAATCAGACCACATAGGGAGAAAAGTTAGCTCCCGATTACAAAGGAATCAGTCCAAGAGGTAAAGTATTAATCAAACCTACTTTTGAACAATCCCATTCTCCTCATTAGAATGCACGCTCCCATCAGGCCACATGAAAACAGCATTTTCATCAGTCACTGGCTCCTTAACTATTTTGTTTCTGCTGAAATCTGGGGTTCCCTACAGTTAAAGTGAGTGGCGAACTACACCATTCTCCAGCGACTCCCTGATAGCTTTATCTGGCTATTATAATTTGTCACTGTCAAGCCATTTAGGCCTTTGGCTTCGGTCTTATTTTTCCTGCAGGTGTCAAAAATGCAAAACCACAATTTATAAAACGCAAGATGACAGAATCCCATTTGCACTGGTTTCAAAATGCCAGAAGGTAACTTTATTTAAAATATCACAACCTCCTCTCCAAACTAGTGTGTGAGTTCCAGGGTGGTCTGAGGAGTTGATTCAAAAAATAAATGCCACTGCAGCAACTTACAATTCCTAAGGCCAAACATCCAGATGTGTCAATAATCTGTGTAAATTAGAAACAGATGTAAGCTCTTGTTGAAAAATAAATATAATAGAATTATTTCCTTTGCCTCCTTACGCTTTCACACACTTGAATTTATTTCTTTCACATTTTTTTAGTTGGTTCAGTATTAAAAACAAAAATTATTTCTATTTTTCATATGGGGTGTAGCTATGTATAAAATTCTCCAGAAAAAGAAAAGAACAGTTAATTTTGTGCCTTATTTCATGCCCAGTGAAGCTAATCCAAGCACAGAGGCTTCTGGAGTTAGTCGGTGATTACAATCCAACCAAATCTTCTGGGCTATATTCTAGATCACTGACACCATGTAAAGTAATTGCCATCATCAAGCCCACTCCTTGTTCCCATAAGGTTGTCCCTGTTATACGGTAAAATAAATATTTCAAATATGGTAGAACTAAATTTCTGGCAACTTCTACTTACTTTCATTTGATGTAACAATAGAGTTGTTATTTAGAGTTAACAAAGGGGTTTTTTGTTGCTGTTGTTTTGTTTTTGTTTTTTGGCTTTTTCTAACTTCTTTTTTTAGGAGAGACCTTGTTTCTTAAATCCCATTTGTGTGTGGTAGGTGGAGATAAGGGACATGTGTGTGTCACTGGAAGTTTTTGAGAAGAGATCAACGGTTGCCAGTAGACAAAGAGCTGCAAGATAAACATCAGAGGTTTACGTTTCCTTGGAGCATAAATACCACAGCCAACTGCACAAAGTCGTTTATTACCTGTGGACATCAATTTAAAAAGTTCTAGTTACTACAAGTTCTCCAGTGCTCTAGCCCCTTGGGCCTTTTGTCCCTGTGGTAGTAGGATCCACGGATGCAGATCCAGCTATTTAAGCGACCTCTGAAAAATTGCTTTAAAGAAAATGAGGCAACTCCATATTCATCTCCTGACTCTCAAACACCATTCACAATAGTAATAATCATAGTACCCTTCTTGCCAGTATAGCTCTGTAGAATTAGGAGATCAATATCTACATTTAATTTTTCAGTGATCTGAATTTTCTCTAATTGTTGCCTTGATGACTCAGCCATCCCTGGAAGCAGTCACATGTTGTAGTCTTGATTATGTAGTGTCCAGAGCTAAATCATCTTAACAAAAAAGGAACATTTACATTTTTCCTCCTGAAAATTTTGATCCTTGCTAAAATAATAAAATAACCTAGGTTTGCCTTCAATATTGTTAATCTACGGCTATCCTTCCTACTGCATTATGACAAAGGATTCTATATCCTATCCAATTAGCATTACCCCTATTTCCTTACTAGCAGAACCACTGGGAGAGGGAGGCAGTTACCCAGTACAGAAAACTACCTTTCTTAGCCCTTTTGCAGACAGGCATGTGATGTAGGGGCACATCAGGGGAAACCCTGTAAAGGAGACTCCCTTAATCAGCAGGTCCCCTTCACTCATGCTTTTCTTCCTCTTTTTTCCTATTTGATTCATGGTTGTGATTGCTGGAGCTCCAACAACCATTTTGTAAGCCTGAGGATGAGAGCAGAGAGCCTGATTCCTGATGACATTAAGGAACTACCGTATAACAGAACAGCTTGCCTACATCTGGACTTAAATGAGATCCATATAAACCCTCATCTTGTGGAGGACACTATTCACAGTTCCTATTAGCAGGTGCAGAATATAACTTCTGATATATTCTGTAAGAAGTTTTTGTCTGCCTGAACCCCCCAGTCCCAGAAATTCACCTCTCAGTCCATCACCTATTTCTACCTTTCAGAAAATTATTATGTTTTCCCTCTGTATCTCAGGCCTTCTCTCTGTGAAACTCTAGTGAAAG